CAATGGGGGGGGGGGGGGGCAAGATGTTTTCAAAGAGGGAGGAGGGAAATCTGTCTTTGGTCTGTTCAGAAAAGTTTGTGCCGGAGTGAAGAATCCAGGAATCAGCCATCTAACATTTCTTAAAAGTAGCAAGTGTTTAGAGAAGGAATGTATTAGATTATGTTTATTTTCTTTTGTGACTTCATTTTGCATAAGAGGGAGAATCAAATTGTGTGTCTTTGTGTAACTAAGGTTTTTGCCCAGAGGGACATCCTCTGTGTTTTGAATCTCTTGTCTGTGAGAGTAGCTTCCATGCTAATCTCACAGAGGTATTCCTTTCACCCCTTTTCCTTTAATTAAAAGTCTTCTTTTAAAGAGCCCCATTGATTTTTCCTTGTTTTAAGATCCAAGGGCTTTTAGATCTGGGCTCACCAGGAATTGGTGGGAGGTGAATCAGTCTCAATCCTGCCAGGAAAAGGGGGATAAAGACTGGGGAAATATTTGGGGGGGGGGACGGGACAGTTTCAAAATGACTCTCCCATAAATGTTTGTTTAAACTATTTGGTGGTGGCAGCAACTAGATCTAAGCTGGTAAATAAACGTAGGGGTTATCTCATGCAGGTCCTCACATCTGTACCCTAAAGTTCAGAGTGGGGGTGACACCTTGACAATGATCATCTCATCTGACCTCCTGTGTAACACAGGCCACAGGACCTCCCTGAAATCATTCCTGTTTCAACTAGAGCAAATCTTTTAGGGAAGTGTCCAATCCTTACCTAAAAACTGCCTGTGATGGACAATCCACCACAATCCTTGGCAAATTGTTCCATTGGTTAATTACTCTGACTGTTAAAAATGTGCACTTCTTGATCAAGTTTTCCCTGCCCTTCTTCTCCCTTATTGTCTAATGAAATGTGAGTATCCATGTTCTTTTCATTTTCTAGGACTGGAAAATGTTACAATATTGGCAATTACAATTCCTGTTTCGGTGGGTGTGATTTTGGCTCTTGTTCTGCCCCTGGTGTATTACCTTAAGAAGAAGAAGAAAGGTATGTAAACATGGAAACCTCACATTATTCACAAATGAACAGGTATAGGAGGCAAACAAAGGACATAAAAAAGAGATTCCCACCTCACATGGTGTTCTCAGACATGGGAAACCTGAAGAAAATAACATTTAAATAATTGCCATATAGAAAATCTGAACCTGAAATGTGAACCCTTTCAGACATTGAGGGTAAAGAGAGCAAAATGGGGGTTAAACTCCAGCTCTGAACTTAATCTTCTGAGGTCCTTTCCAGACCTATGATTCTATCTAGACCATCCATGCAGGACCATGTAAACCTAGATGATCCCTGGCAGATGTTTATCTAACCTCTTCTTAAAATCCTCCGATGAAGGGGCTTCCACTACTTAGCTAAATAACCTATTCCAGTGCTTGACTATCCTTAGAGTTAGAAAGTTTTCCTAATACCTAACCTTAAACCGCCCTTGCTGCAGATTAAGACCATTAATTCATGTTTTACTTAACAGACATGGAGAACAATTTATCACCTCCTCTTCATAACTTGTACCTAAAGTTTTGGTTTGAGATATATTTTCTGGATCTGATTTGGATTTGGTTTGACATGGAAGAAATCTTGCAAGAACAGCTGATTTTGTGAGACTTGAATGATTTGAGATCAAAATCATATGACCCACAGCTTGTCAGATTTCACCACTGACCCTGAGCCTATACACTAGTCCAGGATTGACCTTGAGTCTGAATTTAGGAGCTGGTCAATATTTTTCAAATTTCAAAAATTGGATGAAAATCCAGATTTTGATATTTGAAACAAACTAGAAAAACATTCGTTAAGGGGCTTATTCCTTCACCCTCTCACTTCCCTGGTCCTTCTCGCATGAACAGAGAGCAACAATACCTGAAGTCCAAAGGCGCAAACAATTTGATGTTTATTAGGGTGAACTTCCAGCAAGCATGATTCCAGTTTCCTTCCTCAGTGTTCCCCTTCCCAGCTCTGACACCACAGAGCCATCCCTGTTCCCATTCCCCCCTTAGCAAAACATGTTTCCAATTGCCTCACCCCCATTCCCTGTTCCCATTCCCCCCCTTACTTCCTGATTGACTGTAGACTATATAGTAAAACTTGAGTTCTGCTTAGCTATACCTTAGCCAATCATTTTACTGAAATTTAACTAACCAATCCTAACATACTGTAACATGGTTATTTAACTAATTATATTCCACCATCTTAATTGGTTTACACCCAACAAAATTAATTATACAGCAGACAGAAACAATTACAGAACCAGACAGAGACCATGCAAATAAACATACAAAACAATACAGAAATGAGGATTTTACAACTACATCTATACAGACTGTGGCAAATTGCCGGCACTACTATGATGGGTCTCACGCGCTCTCTTCTTGGGGGGGGGGGTTCAGGGCACCATTTCTTGCCCCTAAACCGGGATATTAACTGTCCCACTAGTGTCCTAGAGGCAGGGCTGGCTCTAAGTTTTTTGCTGCCCCAAGCAAAAACATTTTTTGGTCCCCCCCCCCCCAGCCCTGGGCTCTCTCTCCGCCCCCCCAACTGCACCCTCCTGCTGCCCCAGCCCTGGGTCACTGGTAACTCACTCCCAGGGTGGTTCATTCAGCAGGAATTTTGGATGTGCACAGAACACAGACAGGATTGGTTCCCATATGGTTACAGAACTGCAGTAAAGTAGAACAATTTTCAGCTTGTGTGATTGAAGGATATCTGGATGCATATTATAAGACTGTCCTACATAAATAAGGAAAAGTTGAGGTGCCTTTATTATTCTTTTGTTCCATTCTTTGTTTCTATGGGGAATTTGCCAATGCAATATCACTGTCTTCCTTTTAAACAAATAAAACTAAAACTAAAAAAAAACAAAAAAAAACCAAATGGCTGTTGAAAATAGCAATTCCGGTCCTAATAACCACTGGGAAGCATTTCTTGCTCAATTTATTCTACTTTTCCTACAGCAAGTTACAGTGGATCAGTATATTTGATTTGGGAGAAATGAAGTAACAGTTGCCCAAATTGAGCTTGAGCACTCCTGAATTTTGAGGGTGTTCAAATCTGGAAGGCAGGTGCTGGATTCCCTTTCTGAATATTAGCTAAATCTGGAAAGGAAAAGTCAATTTCTGCTTCCATGGCTCAGAAGTGTAAAACCTCCTACGTGCCTGGTACTGTATCTAAAGCTGCCCAAGTCCTAGTAGAGCCTACCCTCCCTTACTTTTCATTTTAAATTCTAGTGGGATCTCCCTTGCTAGGCTTCAGATAGAGCGGTGCACTGTCCATTTAGTCCACCCAATTCTTTCTTTGGGGGAGAGCCGAGGGCTGGGACAGCAGGAGGTGCGGGTGGGGGCCAGAGCTGGGGCAGCAGGAGATGTGGGGGGAGGAGAGCCCAGGGCTGGGGCAACACAGGGCTGCAGGGGGAGCCCAGGGCTGGGGTGGGGGGTGGCAAAAAACCTGGAGCTGGCTCTGTCCCTACCATTCACAGCAAGCTGCAGCATGAGGTTTCAGTTCCACACTCCTTCCCCCTCCCTTTCCTGTTAATTACAGCCAAGGGAATGCTGGGAAATGTAGTTCTTTCCCTGCTCCAGGGCTGGCTCTATAGGCAGGGAGCTAACCAAGGAGCTACAGCTCCCAAGGCCCCCTGTTGGTTCTCAGTTCCCAGGCTGGATTCTTGCACCCCTGCAAATTTGCCACCCCAAGCAACTGCTTGCTTTGCTGGTGCCTAGAGCCGGCCCTGCCTAGAGAAGGGGAGTGGAGGGGGAGGGACCCGGGCCCATCCTCTACTCCAGGTCCCAGCCCAGGGGCCCTAGGGATAGTGGTAAACCATTTGAACTAGCGGTTCCTTCCACTGGGCTACTTCCCTCTCCTGCCTTTCAGCTTGTGGGGGGCTTCCTGCCCTCCCTCTGCACAAGCCAGGTGTCCTTTTACCTAGGGTCTTGGTCTTCTTACCCCACCACAGCACTTCTCCAAACTTTCCTCTGCTTTCCTCCAAACTGCTCTCTGCTTCAATACCAATCCACTCTGTTTCTACTCCTTCAAACTATTCTCTGCTCCAACATCAATCCTCTCTGCTCCAGCTCCTTCCCCTGTCTGATTGAAGCAGGGGGGTTTTATCAGGTGACTAACTTCAGGTGCTCTAATTAATTTATAGCAAATTTTCTTCCCTGTACAGGGAATAAGGCTCCCTTCTAACCCTCTCCTGCTGCCCTTTGGCCATGCTGTATCACAAGACATAAGGGTTTCCCAGCTGTGTCTATTGATAAGTGAGTTCTTACCAGACAGAAAACTATCAAACTAAATTTCCTTTTACATCTTCTAGGCTCTTCCCTTTCTCTGGAGGTGACAGGAATATCAGGACAGGATTGTATTCCTAACAGCCCAATAGCACCTTATTTCCATGTAACTAGTTTGGAATGTGAGAATGTGACTATACTATTCTCAGCCCATGGCTGCCTCGGCTGCTTAGCCAAAGGCCTTACTTAGCCTAAGAACAGGGCCTCAGACTGTCACAGTGAGAGACACAGAAAGACAATGATTTTGATTCTTTCTTTTATACCTCTCTAACTAGCGAAGTGATAAAAATACACCTAAATTCTTCAAATATAGGCCTTGCAGACAGGCCTGAATATCTATATCCTAACACCATTCACAAAACTTTTTTCTTGATTTTTTTTTTATCAACTCTAAGGCCAGATGAAAGTATATGAATTTCAAAATTTTATATTTCAAAAAATCAGGAAAAAACCTAAAAGAGTTTGTGAATTCTTCTCCACCTTTTTGTGATGAGCTCTGATGAACTCTTCACCTAGCCCTAACCCTAACCTAAATCTTAACAGAACTCCAGAAACAAACCCCTGTCTCCTTATCCCTTAAGTAGTTTGTTTAACTTCCTCTCCCTCTCATTGATATTTTGAGGAGAGGCAAAGAATTTTTCTCTAAACCTTTCTAATTTGTTTTTTGTTTTTTTTTCCAGTTGTAAATAATAGGAGAAAAGAAAGGTAAGAATGGTGTAATTCCATCATACCTCTCACGTTACAGACAGAAAGAGATTAAACCCACGTAGTATACCAACTTGTCTCCAAGTCAGAGGGTTTGGTACCTGCAGCAGCACCCTCTAAATGGTGATGCTGTTGTGGGATATATGGGGTACTTAAGCTGTCTACCTGGATTATGTTATGGCTCCCCTCATCACTATCGTATCGGAGGTAATGATGATGCTTGATAGCTAGTGACTTCATTCATGAAATCAGGGTCCCTTTGTGTTGGTCACTGAACAAACAGGTAACTGAGAAGACTGTCCCTGCCCCAGACAGTTTAAGGTCTACATAGTGTTATTAATCATTAATAGTATGGTTGTTCTTGCTATTGTTATGATTAATCATTGTTATTGCAATAGTGTTTAGAGGCCTCAAACAGGCTGGGCCCCATTGTGCTTGGTGCTGTACAAACACTGAGTATATGACAGTCCCTGACTCTAAGAGTTGCAGTATAAAGGAGTATGAACAAAGATAAAGATTAGCTCCATTAGTGATCTGGTGGCTCTGTCCATCTGTGAGAGTCCTTCCCCACCAAGAAAACTCCAGCTAACCTGGCGCAAAATCCACTAACAAGTGGTAAGCTTTGCCCATGCAGTTCTGCACTAGTTGTTATGTGCAGGTTGTCAGGGCAGGGTTAAAATATCACAGTTTCCAGCAGAGGCATGTCCCCAGGATGATGTGGCTATGAACTGTCTCCCACTCCAACCCCGATAAGCTGCTTTCTCCTAATCCAGCGATACTGGGTTGCAAACCACTCATCAGAAAACAGAATTTCTATTGCACAGGAAATTCCAATATTTCAACATTTTTTTTCATGCCAAATAGGAATGAAAAATCAAAATGTTGACGTTTTCTGCAAAACCAAAATTCCCACAAAATCGTTTTGGAAACATCAAAAGGTTTTGCTTTCATAACATTGAAACATTATACTATACTATGACATATTAAATGTATGATTTGTAAATATAGCATATATAATAAACCATTACAATTAACATTTTAACCATCTAAAAGTCACAATGAAATGAATCAAAACAATGTTGAAATGAAACATGGTGGCCTGATTGAAGTGAAACTTTTGAAGTTATTGAAACAAAAAGTTTTAACAGTATTGAAATAATATGAGAAAGTTGGAGTAATTCATTTTGACTTCCTCCAGTCAACATTTTTGTCAAATCCACATGTTCCCAGGAAACTCTTTCTAGTTCAACAAAACTGAATTTTCCAACCTACTAATTGCTAAGGCTAGGTGTGGCTCCATAGCAGTCTATGTGTCACTTTTCTTGCATATACTTCTTCAAGAGAGAGGCCTTTAATTTCAAAATTCAGATGTGCAGCCGGAACACTCCATTGTTAGGGACTGTGGTGCTTGGACTGCTTGGATGCAGGGTTACATTCAGCATCCTGATGAGACAGGGACTACTTGTGCAGTTCAGATGTGGATGCAGATTTGGATTCTAACTCTCCACAGCCTCTATGTTCAGTCTGCCTGAATTTCAGGATTTTGAGCCAGGTCCATCTCTTATTTTAGACAATAAATATGACTCACATCCCCCATTCACTTGTGCAACTTTTCTCTTGTTTTTATTAGGTTGCAAAACCTCTATGGGAAGAACAATAATCCCACTGAAGATCAGTACACGGGTATGAAAATCAGACACATTAATCACTTATTGCTCTGAGCTACGGATGCATTTGCTGTTTGGTTTTTGAAGGAATGGGGGGTTTGATGAAGTTTATGAAGTAATTCAGGGGCCAGGATCTCTGAAAAGTCAGTTAAGGGCACATATTAGAATAAGTAGAGAAACTATTTCCACCAGCAGCAATTTTTAACTACCAATGGTTCTGTCTACCTTGGCCCGTAATTTATCAGCATGGTACCTAATGCCTTCCTCACTGATTAGAAAACATAACATCCTATTTTGCTCTCTATTAGCAGCTGAGTGGAGGAACTAGGACTAATCCCAGGTCTCTTGACTTTAACGGTAGCGACCAGTTCTCTGGGTCACATTGCCATTTTAAAGCTATGGTGATTATAACTGATTTCAGAAGCAGCTCTGTATGAATGCGCATCTGGCACAAATCAGGTCTGGAGTACAAATCCATCCCAAATGACCTCTTCCGGATGTATAGCTCAACAGGTTGATTTCAATAAGCAGCTCTGAGTTTAAATATTTAAAAAATCTTTTGGGGAACTATGTTCTGCCTATTACATTTGCTGAGACACCAGTTAAACACATTGTAAGGGGACAAATTCACTTTTTAAAACGCCTTACAGCAAAATCTTACCAGAAATCGTGTTATTAAAAAAATTGTTATAAATGTGACTTTTTTTTTACAGCTAACAATGGGGTTGCATATTCCCATGGCATGGTGAGTGATTATGCTGTGCTGTTAAGCCATAACAATACACTGAAAGTCTGACATATTACACAGCAATGATTTCCTGTTTAGATGTATTTTCCTTAAAAAATTATAATAAATTATAATTTCTATTATGATAGTGCTTCAAGGTCTCAGCTGTGATCAGAGCCTTTAGGCACTGTACAGATCCATAATTAGAAACAGTAAGTTTGTGAAACAGCTTTTTCGTTTGAGAAATTATACACAAAATTAAAAATATAAAGAATGGTCAAAATTGAAACAGTGTTTCAGATTTGTTGAAAGAGAACATTTTGATTGCTCCAAACCAATGTTTTCCCAGACTTGTGTGTCCCAAAAAAACTGCAAAATTTTCATTTTTCATCTTGATTCTGGATGAAAAAAAATTGAAGTCTCAAAATTTTCCATAGGACAGAAAACCTGTTTTCTGGGCAGCTCTATTTACCAGTAAGGTTTTCATCTCTGGGGGCCCCAGTTCCATTGGGATATCATGTGTTGAGGAATTAAGCAGTTTAGAGTTATATCTCTTGCTATTTAGATATGTAAAAATGATCCTACTGTAATAGCAAGAAAATAGCATCCTGCTATAATTCCTCAAGCTACCAATAAATGTATTAGTATATTACCAGGGTTTCCAAAACTAATACAAAAAGTATTAACATTGATATCCATTTTGTGGCCAATGCTTCATAGATCGAAATGTTTATTTACTAATGAATACATCTAAAAATTGGAAGAGCCCAGCGGAGGGCAACAAAAATGATTAGGGGGCTGGAGCACATGACTTATGAGGAGAGGCTGAGGGAACTGGGATTGTTTAGTCTGCAGAAAAGAAGAATGAGGGGGGATTTGATATCTGCTTTCAACTACCTGAAGGGGGGTTTCAAAGAGGATGGATCTAGACTGTTCTCAGTGGTGGCAGATGACAGAACAAGGAGTAATGGTCTCAAGTTGCAGTGGGGGAGGTTTAGGTTGGGTATTAGGAAAAACTTTTTCACTAGGAGGGTGGTGAAGCACTGGAATGGGCTACCTGGGGAGGTGGTGGAATCTCCTTCCTTAGAGGTTTTTAAGGTCACGCTTGATATTCCATGATCCTATGATCTTAGTGATGGCATTTTTAAACATGTATGAAGACAACAGGTTAGCTGAGATTGAATTTCCTTCTCTCCAATAACTAGTACTTATCCACAGAGATTTTTTCACTTACACTCCACAGCAGGACTATATAGTCTTATTTAATTTTTCAAGCCAGAAAGATACAATCTGTACAGAGAGGCATCTCCTTCTGTGCTGAATTCAGCTGGATTCACCAAAGGATTGGCTATTTATCTGGTTAACGAGGGCACCTAGAATTACAGTAGTCAGGTTTATTAATCACCAAAACTTTTGGAAGAAATATAGCTGCCTGCTTCAGAGCATCAACCATCCTGGAACAACTGGGGGTTAGAAGAGACTTTCCCTATGGGTAGATTATTTCCTAGCTCCTTCTTGCAGGATTTCATTTTTATTATTATTATAGCTGGTTGAAAATTTTGTGACTGGACAGTTTTCCCATCAGAAAATGCTGATTCAATAAGATAAAAATATTTCATGGGAATGAATAGATTTTGTTGAAATTTTTGAGAGAATGCTATCAAAACGTTTCATTTCAATATAGTCAAAACTGTGCTTCAACTTTATGGTTTCAACTTTTATGTTAGAATAGAATAGTCAAGGCATTTAGACATTTATATTATATTATATTATATTATATTATATTATATTATATTATATTATATTATATTTAAGAGTCAAAATGATAAAGTCACAATGAATCATTCCAGCCTTTCAGAAATGAAACATTTTGATAAGGCCATTTCAATATTTCTGGAATAAAAAATTTCAGATATTTAGTGTCTTGGTCAATTGTCCCATTTCGACTTTTCATTCCAATTTCGAACAAAAAGAAATTTCAAAATGTCTCAATTTCCCAAGGGACAGAAATCCAGTTTTCTGGCCAGTTCAATGATGCAGTAAGGTCCTGAAGCTCTGGGCACTGATCAGCATCCTATTGCACTGCGCTCTGTACACACACATAACAAACAGATGGCCACTGAGCTGAGGAGCTTTGAATCTAAGGCCTCCATCCTGCAAATTCTTACGCACATGCTTAACTATGCTGTGTGTGCAGCCCTATTGAAGTCAATGGAGATGCTTGCAATGTATAATGTAAAACAATACATTCATCTTTGCAGACTGTTGGTCTGTGTAATATCCATTTTCCTCTGAAGCATCTGCTGCCGGCGTCAGATTTGACTAGTTATAAAGTACACATGGGGATGTTGGGGCTGATTAGCTATAGTTTGTACAGTATTCTGAGATCCTCAAGTGAAAGTCACAATGCAGTTTTGTCATTGACTTCAGTGGACCCAGTATTTCACCCAGTATGTTCATTATTTACCTATTATCAATTAACAAAATTCCCCCTTCACATTTAATAATGGGCATGTTTGATCACTCTCTGAGAGGCTACTTTGGCTGTGCCTTTAAATCTCCTCTTTCTGACAGCATTTCAGCCAGAAAATAGCACCTTTGCACCCAGTTTAACATTCCCCCATTGATTTAAAGGGTAAAGAAGCCCCGGAGCCGATCTATGAAAATTTTGATCTAGCGGATGTGCCTCCTTCTACACATCACTCCGAACAGACGTATGAATCTGTCTTTCCGCTATATGCGAACGGTAAGTGATCCACTCCACTCACGCCCTCGGCCCGGACTCAGCAAGGGTCTTAAACACTCATATGCATTTTACCAGGTATGTAATTAGTGGGATTCTTCATATGCTTCAAATTATGCATGTGCTTAATTACCAGGGCCTGGATCCTTGTCACTTATTCCTACTGATGTAGAGCTTTCTCCACCAGGAGAACTGGGGTGAACTTGACCCCTTCGGCCCTAAGCTTGAGGAATCTGATTTTCCATAGAAGTGGGGTAGGAAATAGAACGAGAACAATCAGAGGCAGATCCAGGTCTCGCTCCCCGACCCATGGAGGAGCAGCCTGAATTCATCGCATTGTAACATTCAGAAGGGTAAACTAGTGGGGAAAATGTTTCCTGTACGCTGACTCCGACCAGTGAGAGATTTTGAAATCTCTGATTAAATGCAAGCTGGAAATAAGGTTCTCATTTTGATGGTGAGGGTGACTCACCCTTAGAACAAACTCCCCAGGGAAGTGGTGGATTCTCCATCACTTGATATCTTCAGGTCAAGACCAGACACCTCTCCGGAAGATGCTTTAGCCAAACAAAAGTTTTTGGGCTCAACTGAGAGGTAACTGGGTGAAATTCACGGGTCTGTGCTATACAGGAGGTCAGATTAGATGATCTAATGGTCCCTTCTGGCCTTAAACTCTATGAATCAAGGAAACTTGGATCCAAGAAAGAGAAGAGAGACTATAAATATCAGACTGAATGGGTTTTGCTCCCAGGCCCTTGAAATCTTTTGGTCCTGATCAATGGAAAGCCTAGCAATAATTTGAATGAGTCCTGGGTCAGGCCCGTTACCACTAGAAGTGTTGCAATTTCCGATTAAGTTGAATTATGGATACCCTGGAATTTCAGAATACAAAAGCCAGCCTCCAGATCACAGATATGAATCTGCAATTACTATAATATCATAAAGTTTGTTCTGCTGCCTTTGTGAAACGGGCTGGGATTCCCGTGTCTTTTTTAGGGGCGGATAAGTGGCAAAATAAGACCTGAGCAAATATCTGAAAGAAACTCTGGATTTTCCTTGATGGCATTCTCATCCTTCATGTTTGCTTCCTGCACCACTCCATTGATGAGTTTGCTTCAGTACGGTCATGGAGTCAGAAAATCAGAAGTAAACGTTAGATCAAGAGAGTATTTCTAATTCAGCCATGAATGTTCACACTGCAAACCTGACTGTTACTCTCAACCAACCGCTGAAGAGATTAAAATAACCTGTTAGATTTATATTATCAAACGCAATGAACGTAATGTAAATGGGCTATGCACCAAGAATATTTCGTTGAAATTGTTTAGTTAATAAATTCATGTTATTAATAAATTTGAGATAATCACAATCTGTTTAGCCAATTTGTAAAGAGAAAAAAAATTATCTAACAAGTTAAGACTAATTTTTTAAAAGTGGATCACGATTTTGGGCACCCACAGTGATGCATCTTAGAAAAACCCGATTTTCACAAAATCAGGCCCTTTTCAGGTGTCTTAACATGTGCTTCTAAAATCGCTAGTCACTTTTGACAATTTAGGCCTAATGTTCTATAAATATCTGCCCAAGATTTAGCCATAAATCAGGAGTCCCACCTCCACATTTGGCATGACCGTTTGTAGTCTCACACTTAGAACGGGCAAATGCACTGAAACAGGGCTAGATTCTGCCCTTTTACTTATAGGGAGCACTCATGTGCTATGCGCATAACTGACTAGTAGAGCAAAGTACTTTTCAAAGTGACTAAGAGTGGCAGAACCAGGCCTGCAATCTCAGAGAATCATAGAACCATGGGGTCAGAAAGAACAGAAAGGGTCACCTAATCTAACCCCTGCCAAGATGCAGGATTTGTTGTGTCTAAACCCTCCAAGACAGATGGCTACCCAGCCTCTTTTTGAAAACCTCCAATGAAGGAGATTCCACAACTTCCCTAGGCAGTCTGTTCCATTGTCCTACTGTTCTTACCATTAGGAAGTTGTTCCTGAGATTTAATCTTTATCTTCTATGCTGTAACATCCTATCTGGTAGCCTCTCTGGGGGAAGGTTGAAGATAGATAGACGGATTGATAGTGGGTTTGTAAAGGAAATTGCATTGCTTCTGTGTTGCTTATGCAGAGAGAGGATTTCATTCTTGAGGGACTGCACCATGCACCAATTTTACATTCACCTCCAAATAATAATAAACCAATTGCCACACCAAAATTTGCAAAAACTGGGGTTTGGCTCCTAGACCAGAATTTATTGCAGAGGTGTCTGATTTGATGTGCCCATTGGGTGAATAAGGACAGACACGGGGATGGATTTTGCATTGCAGGCTGCAACTTTATTAAACTTAATATGGGGAGGGGCGCTATCTGCCATGTCCTCCATACTGTCACCCACCAGGCATTTTAAGTGGTTACAGTGCAGTGGTTACAGGCTCCTACCATGTAACCCATAACTCGGGGTAGACTCTCCTCAGCTGATCCCTAAGATTCAGGTTTCTCCTCTGAGTCGTACCACCACCACCCTAGTGAGGGGGACAGAGGGTCCTAGAAGGGGGACCTCAGCTAGGGTGGCCAGATGTCCCGATTTTATAGGGACAGTCCCAATTTTTTGGTCTTTTTCTTATATAGGCTCCTATTACCCCCCCTCCCCTGTCCCGATTTTTCACACTTGCTGTCTGGTCACCCTAACCTCAGCCCACAAAAGCCAAAAATCCTCTCTCATGAACCCAAGGCCCCTCAACAAATTCACAGGTCTTCTACTTCTAGGAACCTTCCCTTTTAGCCTGTTAACCCCACTGGAAAATGGCTTCAAGTTGCAATGAACTAATATCCCTGACAAATACTAGCTCAAATAACTAAATCCCATTCCTAATTAACCTAACTGTGCCTCCTAGGTACTGAGAGGAAGGCAACAATCCCACCAGGCCTCTGCTAATTTGGCCTGATGGGGAGAAAAATTCCTGCCTGACCCCCAAACAGGCCATTGGTCAGACCCACAACACTAGCAAGACACAGCTCCGAAACTACCATTACAGGGGTGGGGCTGGGGCTGCTGAAACTTCCCTCTGTCTCCAGCTGGCCAAGAGGTGGATAGAACCTCTGAAGTGAGTCCAGGCCCATCAAGTTTTCCACCCAGTGAGGCAGGTGGGTGGCACCATCTCTCACTTTCTCATTTTTGCATGCCTGGAAACAGTGTCCAGACAGTCATTGCAGGGGTCTGAGAGTCCCTCTCGTCCCCTATTCCAGTGTCCAGTCCAAGTCACATTTACATTCTGTCACCGGAATACAGGTTGTACAAATCATATGTCTCTCAGCAACCTTCACTTAAATCAACGGTGTGTTTTGTTTGGGATCGGGTAAAATTCCCTGGGGATCAATGGTGTGAGATCTGCAGGTGGCTAATATGTTTTCCATGTTTCCTTCTCATTTTCCTGTAGACGTGTACAGGCCATGAGAGGTGCAGGATGTTGGAAGATAAGCGTCTCAGTTTAGCTTTTTCAAGGATTGATTTCAATGTGTCAAAGCCAGCAGAAGAGGGAAGAAGAGGACACTCCGGCACTGAAGGAACATTTCAGAAATTTGAAAATATGAAGAATTTTTGGTTTTTGAAGAGAGAAATAAAGAGCAACATGACTTTAACCTACATGATTTCTTAACTGGGAATGAGGATGTGTGTCAATTTCAGACTAGTTCCTCCTGTGCAAAGGGAAAATGTGAGTTTGATGTAAATAGATGATGCTGTATCATAAATTATAACTGTATTTCTGTTACATGTATGCTGGGCTGTAATGTATGAGAGGGCTCACTTATTTGATCACATGAGTCAGAATTTTCTTTTTGTTATCTAGCTCTATAAAACTATTAATTTCAATTTCCTCTTTTTCAATATATTCAAAATAAAATAAAATTTAAAAAAGAAAAACAAGTATTGTGCAGTAATGTGTATAGAACTGAGCAAATAATTGATTTTTTTTCAGCTCAGGAACCAAACTAAAAATTTAGTTATTTCGAACCAAAACTGAATTTTTCTTTTTCACCAAAGCAAAAAAAAAAAAAGTTGTTGTTGGGTTTGTTTGTTTGTTTTCCATTTTGGATAGAAAACACCCCAAACTCTATGAAATGAAAAATCTGAAACTAAACTAACTTGGGTGAGAGTTATTTGGGGGGAGGAGGGGAGGAGTTTGTTTATTGTTTTAATTCTGAGGTGTTTTTTATTGGAGATGAAACTTTTTTTGGTTTTTCATTTAATTTAGTTTTCAAGTGTTTTTCCACCCCTTAAAAATAAATATACCTGAAGTTCAAAATTAAAATGTCATTTTGAAATGAAAAGACACAATGTTTCATTTTGAAATGGTTGAAACAAACTGTTTTGACTTTTTAAAAAAATTCCATTTTTTTCAGCCAAAAGTATTTTCCACATTTAATCCAAATTCATGAATAGTTTCAGTGCCCCCCCCCAATGCTTTTTTTCAGCTTATGTACTATTCCCCCCCAAAAAAACCTTTCACCCAGCTCTGAACACATGAGCATATTCACAGTTCCTCTGCTTTGTAAAAAACAGATAGCTCTATTGATTTCATTGGCGCTTCACTACTTTGGCCTTTTGAGTATTTTCCCCTTCACCAATTTCTTCCATTTGAGCATGTGGCCCATAGAGGGTAAAACACTAGATTAATTCTTAGATTGCACTCCCTTCTGCTGGGGGGGTTATACTGCTCAGCATTGGGAAGACACCCACTCATTTCAGGTACCACAGTGAAGACGAGGCAGCGTCAGACCTGGAGGGGTCAAAAGAGGAGTTTCTGGAGTAAGCTGATAAATTAGGGCCTTATCTAAAGCTTACTGAACTCAATGGAAAGACTCAACTGCCTTCAATGGGTTCAGGATCAGGTCCTCAAAGAGCAGCAAATTTACTGTGCCTGGGCAGGACCTGACAGAGACCTGGAAGGACCATTGTGATCATGGATTCATAGATTCCAAGGCCCGAAGGGGCCACTGTGTTCATCTAGTGTGACCTCCTGTAGAACACAGGCCAGCGAACTTCCCCACAATAATTCTGAGAGCAGATCTTTCAGAAAAACATCCAATCTGGATTTAAAAGTTGTTAACGATGGAAAATCCACCACAAACCTTGGTAAATTGTTTCAATGGTTAATTACTCTCACTGTTAAACATTTACACTTTATTTCCCGTCTGAATTAGTCAAGCTTTAACTCTCAGCCCTTGGATTGTGTTAGACCGTTCTCTGCTAGATTGAAGAGCCCATTAGTAAATATTTGTTCTCCAGGCAGGTACTTATTGACTGTAGTCAAGTCACCTCTTAACCGTCTCTTTGTTAAACTAAAGAGATTGAGCTCCTTGAGTCTCAATATCAGGCATGCTTTCTAACCCTTTAATCATTCTCAGAACTCTTCTCTGACCCCTCTCCAATTTATCAACATTCTTCTTAAATTGTGGACACCAGAACTGGGCACCGTATTCCATCAGCAGTCGCACTGCCACCAAATATGGAGGTATATTAACCTCTCTATTTCTATTCAAGAGTCCCCTTTTTATGCATCCAAGGTTCACATTAGCCCTATTGGCCATAGCATTGCACTGGGAGCTCATGTTCAGCTGATTATTGGTCCTGCTGGTGTTGGTCCTGCTTTGAGCAGGGGATTGGACTGGATGACCTCCTGAGGTCTCTTCCAACCCTAATATTTTATGAAGGGGGAGAAATTGATGGCCAGCAGAGAAAAGCAGGTTTTCAAAGGCAAGAAAACCTTTGAGGAACCATTAGAAAAGCATATCTTTGGTGAAAGGGAGGGCAAATTAGTTTAGTGCTCTCAAAAGAAGAATGGCGGTAGAACTAGATAAAACATGGTGCTATCTGGGAACAGGACTTTTTCAAGTTTCTTCCACACAGCTCTGCCAATCCAATAGCACCCTTACTATTCCAGTCTTGGATGTCTCCTAAAGAGAGAAGGCAGCAACTAGGAGAAGGCAGCAGTGGCTGTTCTCAGTGGTACCACATGACAGAACAAGGAATAATGGTCTCAAGTTGCAGTGGGGGAGGTTTAGGTTGGATATTAGGAAATACTATTTCACTAGGAGGGTGTGAAGCACTGGAATGGGTTACCTAGGGAGGTGGTGGAATCTCCATCCTTAGAGGTTTTTAAGGCCCGGCTTGACAAAGCCCTGGCTGGGATGATTTAGTTGGTGTTGGTCCTTCCTTGAGCAGGGGTTGGATTAGATGGCCTCCTGAGGTCTCTTCCAACCCTAATCTTCTATGATTCTATGATTATTCACCATGATCCCCAAGTCTTTTTCAGTCACTGCTTCCTAGGAAAGAGCCCCCCACATCCTATAAGTATGAGTGACATTCTTTGTTCCTAGATGTATACATTTACATTTAGATGATCTGGGTGTAATAGACCAGTGAGCCTTACTTTCTTACCCAGTTACACAGGCGGAAATTATAATTAGAAATAGAATTATAGGCCACCTTCATGATCATGATCATGACATGGTAGGGACTAGCCAGCACGGCTTCTGCAATGGAAAAGCATGTCTGTCTAATCCACTAGATAGTGGATAAAGGAGAACCAATTAATATAATTTATTTGGCCTTTCAGTAGCCTTCAACAAAGTCCCTTTTAGGTGGTTAGTAAAGAAACTAAGTAGGGCTATCGATTAATCACAGTTAACGCATGTGATTAATTCAAAAAAATTAATCACAATTAAAAAAATTAATCGCAGTTTTAATTGCACTGTTAAAAAATAGAATACCAATTGAAACGTATTAAATACCGGTATTTTGGATGATTTTCTACATTTTCATATACATTTTATTCTGTGTTGAAATTGAAATCAAAGTGTATATTATTTTTATTACAAATATTTTCACAATAAAAATGATAAAAGAAATAGTATTTTTCAATTCACGTCATACAAGTACTGTAGTGCAATCTCTTTGTTGTGAAAGTGCAACTTACAAATGCAGATTTTTTTTTGGTTACACAACTGCACTCAAAAACAAAAGAATGTAAAACTTCAGAGCCTACAAGTCCATTCAGTCCTACTTCTTGTTCAGACAATCGCTTAGACAAACAAGGAGATAGTGCGGCCCTCTTCTTATTTACAATGTCACCAGAAAGTGAGAACAGATATTTGCATGGCACTTTTGTAGCTGGCATGCAAGGTATTTATGTGTCAAATATGCTAAACAATCATATGGACCTTCAGGCTTCGGCCACCATTCCAGAGGACATGCTTCCATGCTGATGATGCTCGTTAAAAAAATACCGCATTAATTAAATTTGTGACTGAATTCCTTGGGGAGAATTGTATGTCCCCTGCTCTGTTTTACCCATATTCTGCCATATATTTCATGTTATAGCAGTCTCAGATGATGACCAAGCACGTGTTCGTTTTAAGAACACTTTCATTGTAGATTTCACAAAACACAAGGAAGGTACCAATGTGAGATTTCTATCCAACCCAAGGTTTAAGAAGCTGAAGTGCCTTCCAAAATCTGAGCGGGACGAGGTGTGCAGAATGCTTTCAGAAGTCTTAAAAGAGCAACACTCCGATGCGGAAACTACAGAACCTGAACCACCAAAAAAGAAAATCAACCTTCTGCTGGTGGCATCTGACTCAGATGATGAAAATGAAAATGCATTGGTCTGCACTGCTTTGGATTGTTATTGAGCAGAACACGTCATCAGCATGGACGCATGTCCACTGGAATGGTGGTTGAAGCATGAAGGGACATATGAATCTTTAGCACATCTAGCACGTAAATATCTTGTGACACTAGATGTAACAGTGCCATGCGAACACCTGTTCTCACTTTCAGGTGACATTGTAAACAAGAAGTGGACAGCATTATCTCCTGCAAATGTAAACAAACTTGTTTGTCTTAGCAATTGGCTGAATAAGAAATAGGACTGAGTGGACTTGCAGGCTCTAAAATTTTACATTGTTTTATTTTTGAATGCATTTTTGTACATTATTCTACATTTGTAAGTTCAACTTCCATGATAAAGAGATTGCATTACAGTACTTGTATTCGGTGAATTGAAAAATACTATTTCTTTTGTTTTTTTTTACAATGCAAATACTTATAATCAAAAATAAATATAAAGTGAGTACTGTACACATTTTATTCTGTGTTGTAACATAAATCAATATATTTGAAAATGTAGAAAACATCCAAAAATATTTAAATAAATGGTATTCTATTGTTGTTTAACAGTACGATTAATCTTGCGCTTAATCATGATAATATGTTTTTAATCACACGTTTAATCGTGATTAGTCTTTTTAATCACTTGATAGCCCTAAAACAAAGTAATCATTGGGTGTGAATCAAAGTTCTGTCATGGGGCAGAAACTGGCTCAAAGATAGAAAGAATAGGAATAAATGATCAATTAAGGAGAATAGAGGGTGCCTAAAGGGTCTGTACTAGGCCCTCTGTTGTTTAATAAGTTTATTAATTATCTGGAAAGGGGAGTAAACAGTGAAGTAGCCAAATCTGCAGATGGCACAATATGCTCAGGGTCTAGCAGGTTGCCATGTATGGGGTCAGGAAGGAATTTTCCCCGGGTCAGATTGCCAGGAATTTGGGGGTGGTTTTTCGGTTGGTTTTTGGTTTTTGCATTCCTCTGCAATGTGGGGTGAGGGTTGCTTGCTGAGATTATCTGGGTATTTCTCACCTAATCAGTTCCCAGCCATGGCAGCAGTCTTGGGCGCTGATGCACCGCTATCCTTCCTATTCTCTGCCTGCGGCACACAATTTTCTAAGTCTCTTGCAGACTGTAATACTTTCGCCTGATTTTGTTTGTTGGGTTTAGTGTGCTGGTGGTGGGTGGAGCTGGTGGCCTGTGATATACAGGAGGTCAAACTGGATAATCTGATG